ACTAGTCACTCTGTATGCAAAATGATCAAAACATGTATATTTTTAAATTTCAATGTTATTTAACTTTAATATAAATTCAGTAAATTATTTGTTTGGTTGGTCTTGATAAAAGAAATTCTGCATCTTTTTAAATAATAAAATTTAATTTTAGTAATTTAGTGGGAAAATATTTTAATGTTGATTGAGACATAATTTAACTTGATACTCCCTGTAATAGAAGAAAGTACTATTGTGAAGATAAAAAAATCTTTATTCAATACAACTACAAAAAATCTTTCAGTACAACTAAAAAAAATGTATTTCTAAACTTATGGTATAGTATTAAAATTTTACTTTCCACACATCAACTATTTTTGGCCAAATTACATGAATAAATACATTTTCATAATCAAAGAAAATAGTCATCTGGAAAAACTACAATAAAATAAAGTTATCATCATTAACCTCAAAATTTCAGTTATGGTTAAATATATTCTACATTTTGCGCTGTAAATTCTATTATGTTTTTATGGTGCAAAGTTACAAAATGCTACATGATGTAAAGTGAAATTAAGTCTAAACTAAATATTTTATTTCAAAATATATCCAAATACACAAAAATCTACCATAGATCGGAAAATTGTACAAACTATTGATAAATTATTATATCTCTTGGCTCAGAAACTAAATTCATCTTTAATTCATATAACCTTCTAGGCTGAAATTAATTAACATTGTTGTCATCTCTCAAAACAGAGAACTTCAATACTATAATTTTATTTCTTAATCACAGATCTGGCCTTTAAAACTATAATGCACTTTCTCACTACTTGAAGTTCTCTGTTTTTCTTAATTATAGGCTGAAATTAACCTTGTAGTGAGAGAGTGCATTATATTTTCCCTTGTTTATCGTAGAAGATACACCGGTTATCATTCATAATCATACGTCTCATTAAGTTAGTACCGGTTGCTAGCAGGTTGTTGCATGCTTGCCAAAGGAAGATGTTGATCTTACTAGGAATATGTAAAGCCCAGAGCCATTTCCAATCTCTCACGTGGTGGGCATTTGAGTTGTTCCTCGGGTGACCGTCTACCTCCGCCTTAATCTTTATTGCAAGACGATACGCGCTACAGATTGAGAATTTTCCATTCCTATTGTAATGCCAAATTTGCATGTCCTTGTTCGATGTGCTGCCGAGAGGAATGGATAAGATGGTCCTCTACGATGAATATCTCTCGAATTAATTCGGAGTTCCAAGAACCGGTGACATTGTCCATAAGGTCACTTGATTTTCTATTGTTGGGGTGCAAACCAAGTCCTACATCGGTTTAATATGGGAAATATCAATGGTTTATAATGTGGGAATAATAATTATATTCGTATAAGGTCTTTTGGGGAAATCCAACAGCAAAGCCAATTGGGTTTTGCCTAGATTGGACAATATCATCCCAGTTTGGAGGTTGTGTTATCCCGTGGGCCCCTAACAGTGATATCAAAGTCATGGCTCAAACTTAACCATGTGGTGAAATTTGCCGGTTATTCAATGCTCGGTGCGGGATTGCCGGAGGTCCTATCTGTTGAACAAATATAATCAAGTCCCACATCAGTTTAATATGAGAAATTTCAATAGTTTATAATGTGAGAACAACAACTGTACTGATATGAGACATTTTGGGGAAATTCACGTTCACAATCACATCCACAAATCTCGCTCCTTGATTTGAGAATACCGTTTCATCATAGTGGGAATTATAATTCTCAAAACTCTTCCCTATTTATATGAATAGGAAAGCGGCTTTTCAATTATTTAGAGTGGTATCCGATTCCAATACATGTATACTTTGTAAGTATTGTAGCAATTATTCAGTGTGGTTTTCATATTTTCATAACTGGATTAAGTTGATAAATAATTTATACATGTTTGATAAATAGTGGTTTTCAATTTGATAAATAAATAGTGGTTTTCAATTTATACATGGTTGATAAATAATTTATACATGTTCTGGATACATGTTTGATAAATAGTGGTGGGAATTATAATTCTCAAAACTCTTCCCTATTTATATGAATAGGAAAGCGGCTTTTCAATTATTTAGAGTGGTATCCGATTCCAATACATGTATACTTTGTAAGTATTGTAGCAATTATTCAGTGTGGTTTTCATATTTTCATAACTGGATTAAGTTGATAAATAATTTATACATGTTTGATAAATAGTGGTTTTCAATTTGATAAATAAATAGTGGTTTTCAATTTATACATGTTTGATAAATAATTTATACATGTTCTGGATACATGTTTGATAAATAGTGGTTTTTAATTTTGATATATTAAACCCAATGAGCTGTTACATTAAAAGACAGAACAAGTGAGGACCACTAATTGTGGTGGACACCTGTCAAGCTCACAGTGGTTTGCTTGGGGACCAAGTTGTTTTATGCTAGGGTTAACTGCATATATATAGCACTTGGAGGAGAGGCTTGGCGGCCAATGCTAATCAAGGGATAAGGCTTGAAAGACTGGAGAGCAAGGCTCATCAAGGGGATAAGGCTTGAAGGGCTGAAAAGAGAGGAAACTCAAGGACAAATGAAATAAACTAGAAGGAAATCTTTACAAGTTTTGTGAGTTGGGTTGGAAAACAAGAGAGAAACAATGAGGTATACACAGTGGAGTGTCAAAACAACTTAGGTGAAATAGTTGTTGAGAGCTTGAGTGTAATCACTATCTTGTAATCTATAACCTTCTTGATCTAGTGGATATTGTTCTCTGTGCACAGTGGATGTAGGCCTGTGGTGATACAAGTCGAACCACTTTAAATATTGTGTTATTTATCTATTTCTATAGCTTTCGTCTTTTAGTTTTAGATCTGTGATAACTGTAGTTGTGGCAACGGTGGCAACAGTCGTTTGAGTCCACACAGTGATATCTTTATGTTCTTTCTTGGTTTAATTTATATTATGTGGCTTGTTATTGTTCGTGGATGTGAATCCACATCATGATCTCTATGCGGTGGTAGACAAATGTTTTTTTTTTTTTGGTTTTTTTTCGTTCAATCGTCTTTTTGTGGTTTTAGGGTTTGTGGGGCAGTCCCTATTTGATAACGATACTTGAAAAAGACTATTAATTCATATAAATTATTGTTTTGAACAAGATGATTATCTATATTGTTATTTTTAGTAAACCTTGAATATTTTTTTTTTTATAAAATTTTGGCATCGGGACTATCCATTACTAGCTTCATAAATTAGTCATATTGGTGAGTGTTGAAACAAAAAATGAATGATGAAACAACAATTATAATTAAAAAGAACAATTGTGGTAATACATTGCATATTAATAGGTTGGAAATAATTTGCTTATGAAAACTTCACATATTTTTTTTCCCACAAACGATCATGTGACAATAAGGTTTGCTTTTGGAAATTGGTTTCCATTTGCAATTTTTTTTTTCTTGTTCAGATTGATTTAGTGACTGTCTTCGGCCTTGTTGGTGGTGGTGTACTGGTGTTGGACTTTTCCCTGGACATAGTAGTGGACTTATGTTTCAAAGAATGGATTTTCGAATAGTGAATTTATGCTTTTTTTTTTGTTTGTTATTTTTGGAGTTGTGTTAGTAGATTACGTATATTTTTAGTCGATTTCGATAAGTTTGTTGTGGATTATGTTAATATTAAAATGGATTACGTTAATTTTATAGTGAATTTTAAGGTAATTTTACAGTGGTTTTCGATAAATTTGTAATAGTTTCCGATGAGTATATAATGAATTTTAATTTTCGTAACCCTGGTGGAAAAAAAATTGAAATAAAAAAAATAAAATATTAAAATAAAATTGGGCGTTAAAAAACATATTTTTTTAAAATCTGGTGGAAAAAGAATAAAAAAACTAAATAAAAAAAAGCTTAAATAAAATAAAAGTAATATGTTGTTTTAAAATTGAACCATATTTTTTCTGATAAAAGAAAAACAATACAAAAAAACTGAAATAACGTGAGATTTTTAAGGAGTTATTTTGAAGAGAGAATATGATAGGGATATTTCGAATAATTTAACTCAAATGATTTATGTCATAAATCAATTAAAAAAATGGATTTATTATAAAATTGACATTCAATGAGAGAGTTTGTCAAATAGTCTCTTAAAATTAACACTCACTGAAAAATTGAAGTTCTTATTGATTTATAATATAAAATACATAATTGTATTGATATATAAATACAATTTTCAGAAAAAAAAAAAAGGAATTTTTTTAATAAGACTGAAAATCGGACTGAAAAAAAAGGAAAATTAAAATCGGACTGAAAATCAAATTTTATATATATTTCACTTCCATCATGAAATTAATAAGGAAAAATAGGAATTCAAAATAAAATATTGTTCGAAACACAATGTTTGGTTGCCTTTTTATTTTGTTTTCATTGATTCCTGAAAACAAAATTATACTTATTACACTTCTCAAATAATTTTCTCAAAACAATCTCAAAAGTTTCTCTCTGCTTCAGACATGATGTGACTGCTACATTAAAATGATTTGACTGCTACATTAAAAAATGTATTCACTAAAAACAAATAAATATCACTTCATCTTTCAATTTTTTTCGTGACTGCTAAAGTGTATTTTGTCTCCTACCAAAATATAAACAAACATTACTTTCATTCCCAAATTCTTCCCCCAAAACACATTTCCTCAAAATAAAATCAAAATAAGTTCCAAAACGCTTTCAAACATTGCCCAAATTTTCAGATAGTAATCCACGAAACCCCTAAAATAAACGTATATGCAGTATTTGGGCAAAGGCAAAGCTTACAAAGCACGCACGCAGCACCTGACTTGTATCTATAATAAGACACCAAATGCGAATTCCCAAAACCCCACCCACCATATGTTTTCCTTTTCCTTTTCCATTTCCCCCCACGCGCGCAAATTTGAATCATTTTCGTCTCTCTCCCCCGCCCACCCCTCTCTCTTTCTCTCTCTTTCTCTCTCACATAGTGAATAGTGCACTGCGGGATTACAATTGATGAAGAGAAATTCGAAAAGTAGTAGTAGCAAGAGATACAGAAAAAAATCTAAGATAATGGTGAAAGGCACATTGACAAATCACTTGACGATGCAGCTGAATTTACCTCTTCCATCTTTCAATCCTTCTCTATTCCAGAAACAGAAACCCCTTGATTTTGATGCCGACGACTCTACCATTGATAGAGATTTCATCCGCAGTCAGGATTTCTTCTGGTCATAATAATCATTTTTTTTCTTTTTGATTCGATATATGATGAATATGTTGTTCGTGTTATTACTTAATTAATTAGGTTTATCATTTAATTGATTTATTTATTTATTGCAGTACGCCTGATTATATTACTCCAGCAACCAATACAGATTCGAGCTTGGTAAGATTGGGGGATTTTTTGCTTAATTAATTGAAAACCTCATACTTTATGAATTGGGTGCTGATATTAAAGGAAACTTGTGTTGCAGGAAAATATTACATGTCCCAAGTCACCTGAGAAAATTAAGACCATTAGGAGTAAGCGGCAAAAATTAGGTAACCTTACTGTAATTAAATTTGTTTCTTGATATTTCTTTTGATAGTTCAGTCAATGTACAGCATATAAATTATACGAAAGTTGTATTGTATGAAGAGGGATGAAGTTTGTTGGTCAAACACAAAACTGCCCATTTGGCTTTTTAACCTGAATCTGATATAATTGTGACTTTTCAGCTTCTTCAGCAATTAGTAATACTAGAAATATCAATATATTTTCATTTTTTTTTAGTTCATGCTGGTTTTTCTCTGTTGATTAAATCATGTTTTTTTGCTTCATGTTTGGGCAATCTCAGGCAGAAATAACACGGTCAAGAAACCGGTAGCTGTTTGAGCTTGTCATTTTGGTTTTAATTAGTATTTCGCTAGTATCTTTAAGTCATTTTCATTTGTTTCTAATGGCGATTCCCGTAGACCATGTGGTATGAAATTGTACTTTGTTAGAATGTTGTGAAAACTGGTTTGGTACTTCTTGCTTAGATCATTAGTTGTTACAGTAGAGTCATAGGTAAATACGTAAGGTTAACGGTGTATAGATAGTGGCAATTTTGAGTTCTAGACTGCATTACAATTTTCATTCGTAACATATATATTGTAACTCCAATTATCTGGTTTTCTCTGCTCACTTTTCACATGGGATACCTCCCAGATATTGACTTGGAAGCACCCCACGAGCCAATTGATACTGGACATCAGTCCATGGTAGATCTTGTCGAAGATAATTTATGGACGGATGAAATGAAGATAGACAAAGAAGTTGAGTGGCAAAATAATCACAATTATCTTTCAAAGTCTGCAGTGGCTCTACGGTGTAGAGTGATGCCTCCCCCATGCTTGAAGAATCCGTACCTTAAGGATACGTCAGAGTTCGATGCAGATCCTTTTGGTAATCAAAGATCGAAATGTGCAGGTAAAGTTATATTTTATTCACACTTTTTTTGGTAATCGAAGATTGAAATATAATGCAGTATTTATGCTGAAGAAGCAGTTTTGTATATATTTCTATTACGCAACTTTGTAAGTGCATTTTCTCTCTTTCTCCAGGTTTTCAGCCTCCTGCAGGCATTGGCGGTGATGGTCTTTCCCGCTATCGGACAGATTTCCATGAAATTGAGGTTTGGGAACCAATACATAACTGCTGTCTGGATCTTTGATTTTTCAAAATGGCTGTCTACTCCGAACTGATGGTTTTTCTTTCCAGAAAATTGGTTATGGAAACTTCAACCAGGTTTTCAAAGTCTTGAAGAGAATTGATGGTTGCATGTATGCCGTAAAACATAGCATGAGACAGTTGCATCAGGATGCAGAAAGGTAATTTAATTTAATTTTAATTTACGCCATTTTCTTGTAGCAGCAAACTTATGGTTAATTCTGTAACAGGCGCAAGGCTTTGATGGAAGTTCAAGCTTTGGCGGCTTTAGGTTTGTTGCATTATTATATTCTTTTTATTTTTATAAAAAGTTGAGATTTTTAAACTTTTCGACTCGCATTTTTCTCAGGGTACCACGAGAATATAGTTGGATATTATTCATCTTGGTTTGAAAACCAGCAACACTACATCCAATTGGAGCTATGTGAGCACAGCCTATCTCTCAATAGACTATCTAAACTATTCACAGAAAGAGAAGCTTTAGAGGCAATGTATCAGGTAAATGATTTTGAATCTATTATTAACTTTCTGTGGTTTGTTTATTTTATCTTGATCAGTTAAATATTTATTTTATCGACTATGACCTTTCCCGGAGGAGATTTTCCAATGAAAAAAATTCCATTTGTGCAGATTGCTAAAGCATTGCAGTTTATACACGGGAGAGGAATAGTTCACTTAGACGTAAAGCCAGAAAACATATATGTAAAAAATGGAGTTTATAAACTTGGTGATTTCGGTTGTGCAACTCTCATTGATAAAAGCTTGGCAATTGAAGAAGGTGATGCTCGGTACATGCCCCAAGAAATCCTGAATGAGAATTATGAAAATCTAGACAAAGTTGATATATTCTCGTTAGGAGCTTCCATCTATGAACTTGCAAGAGGGTCACCGTTACCTGAATCAGGTTCTCATTTCCTCACTCTTCGGGAAGGAAAACTGCCCCTTCTTCCTGGTCGTTCAATCCCGTTTCAGAATTTAATCAAGGTAAATTACCTTCTCTACTTTTAGGATATGAAAAGTAGGTCTTAATCGAAGATATCCTATTTGTTGTCTTTACAATTAATGTTTGATAATTTCAATGATATAACATTCTTTTCTTTGAGTTGTATTGATTTGGTGCAACAACTTGCAGAGAAAAATTAAATATTGGAGTTTTCAGAAAATATATTACAGAGCATGATGTTAATTATTAATTTATAGTGAGCATGTTCAATAAAAATGCTTTGGATTGCTACAAATTGACTTATGTATTGGCGTTGGGTTTTCTTTTGATTTGTTAATCGTTCAGGTCATGATGGATGCCAATCCTGTTCGTAGACCAACTGCCAAAGAACTAGTTGAGAATCCAATTTTTTACAGGATTGGAAAGAACAAGTAAAAAATCAAAAGTATATAATCAGGGCTTCTAGCAAACCGATAAATACGAAATCAGGTTTCTAGCGCTGCTGCACACTAATGTACTTATGTTTTGCAATAATTAAAAGGACTTTGAATGGCAGTGGACTTCAGATATGGAAGTCGGGCCATACTGTTTTCTCCATTTTCTTGCACCAGATTTTCAATTGTGGTGGTGCTAACTTTGTATAGACTAGAAATGTGAACAAGTGGCCGTATTTTTGTTGCGATTATGGTAATTTGTTTTAGCATTGTTTCAAGGCCTCTCTGTTTCTTGACCTAAACATATCTTACCCTTTCGAGTTAATCATCCGGTCAGCTGGTTTGTAAGATTACTCAATTTAAAGATTTTGTTTGTATATTCGATCTGAAAGGCTATTTATTGGTTGCTTTCGTTGTAGAAATGTAACTGCTTATGATATATGCCAACCAGGAGCACAAGAATAGCATAAAATGCATTCTCTTAAGGTGAGAATTACTTGCATTAATTTGAATAGATAAAACTCCAAGAGTTTAAATAAACAATAGAGAAATACATATATAAGTCGCAAATACTTTTAAATAGTTTATAAATTCTTAAATATCTGATAAGCTATTTTTAAACCCTTATAAGCTTAGCCTAACACCCTCTAAATTTTTAAGAGAGAAAATATGATAAAAACTCAGTTGACTAATTAAAATGACGTCGTCATAAAAATTGTTGCATGGATAACAATTTTATTTGGGCTGCGGCTATATGTAAGACTAAACCCACTTGTGTAAGACCAAATTAAAATTTTCAATATATAAATACTATAATACCCTTACTTGTTAAAAAAATAAAAAATTCAAAATGTGCAAGACCAAAAATTCAAAAACACAAAAAACCCTATAACAAGACCACAAAACCACAAGACCAACTTTCATCTTCTCCATCTTCCAAAAATCACAAGACCTTTCTCCTTCCTCTTCCATAAACCCACAAAACCTAAACATTCAAAATCATCAAAACTCAACAAATCTTACAAAGATGGAATGTATGGAGTCAGAAGACATCAAAATTGAAGATTCTACGGTGGAAGAACCCAAGCAGGTATGCATTTATGGGTTTTTTAGCTAAAATATCGTTTTTCCAAAAAAAACCCGCGCAAACGAATTCAACATGTACAGGTCGAATTTTATGGGTAAAAATCGACATCTAGATGTCGATTTTGAGCTATAAAATTCGACATTTGGACATGTCGAATTTGTGCTATAAATTCGACATGTCAATGTCGATTTCTGCTTATAAAATTCGACGCTTAAGTGTCGATTTGTAGCGTAACTTTTCGACACCTTGGTGTCGATTTTTACCAGTTTCAAATTTAATTTGTTTTTCCTCTTTTCGGCGGCGTTGCTGGGCAGGTCTGGATCACTCATGATTGTGAGCGGCGGGGCTGGCGGTGACGGCGATCAGTGGTGGAGCTTAGCCGGCGGAGCTTAGGCGACGGAGCTTGGACGGCGGAATTTAACGGCGGAGAAGGTGGGTGGGTAGGGTTTGAAGGAGCGTGTTGTTTCAATTCACGCAAAGTTTTTTTTTTTGTTTTTTTGTTTTTTTTTTTTTTTTAGTTTTTCTTTTTTTTTTTTTTTTGTTTTTTTTCCTCATTATTTTTGGTCTTGTATGAGAAAAAAGGGCAAATTAACTTATGGGTATATTTGTCATTTCATCTTAATAAAATAGAATTTTTTGGAATTTTTCTTTAATTTGGTCTTGCACAAGTGGAATGAGTATTGCATATAGCCGCAGCCTTTTATTTGATGAATGAAAACTTTCAACCAGATTTACATCATTTATCATGTCTCTCAAACAAGCAAGGACCAGAGAAAAAGAATATATGACAACAAAAACCATTATTTGGAACACTTTTGTAGGATATTTCCACCTTGTAGGATTTTCTTTTATATATGCTGAAGCTTATTATGCTGTCGAATGTCATTACTCTCAAATTAAGTATCGGTCTACCAATTTGAAGATTCTTTTTTATTTATTTCCTATTTTATGTTACTTTAAAAAATAATAGTGTAATAATTTTTTTTCTCCATATTTATACTCATTAAGTATTCTTAAGTTTTTATCAAACATTAATTATTCTTAAATTTCGATCAAATTTTCATTCTCAGGAGGTCGAGAGAGGAAATTAATAGGGAAAAAAAAGAATTGATTGGAAGGGTAGTTGAGTCCTGAAAGAATTCAATGCCTCCAAATTCATTAAAATAATATAAATCAATATAAAATCAGAGATTTTTTTCAAATAAACAAAAACTTGTGTTGAGAAAGATTATGCAGCGGAATATAAATGACACAAGTTTTAAATCATTATCCACAAGTATATAACTTGTTGATGGAGCCTTCATAGGCCAAAAACAGCATTCAAAAGAACTTATATGAGAAGCCAAGATCTTCTCTTCTAAGAATAAATCACAAGTTGATTTCTTCGCAAACCGATTCCTAGATTCTATAGCTTAACAACTCTCTAGGAATACAAAATAGTATTCAAAAGAATACAAATGAAAAGCCAAGATCTTCACTTCTAAGAAGAAATCGCAAGATGATTTCTTCGTAAACCAATTCTTAGTAACTAGTACAAAAGCACTTATAAAATATACTAGAAATACAAATCAATATTCAAAAGAATACAAATGAGAAGTCAAGATCTTCTCTTCTAAGAAGAAATCGCAAGATTATTTCTTCGTAAACCAATTCTTAGTATCTAGTACAAAAGCACTTAGCAATATACTAGGAATACAAATCAGTATTCAAAAGAATACAAATGAGAAGCCAAAATCTTCTCTTCTAAGAAGAAATCGCAAGATGATTTCTTCGTAAACCAATTCTTAGTATCTAGTACAAAAGCACTTAACAGTATACTAGGAATACAAATCAGTATTCAATGAGATTGAATACAAAATAGACTCAATTATGCGGTGAGAAATCCATAAGAAAAACAGGGTGCTGTCGACGGTGGTGCCAACACCCGCAGCTCTGTGCTCTCAACTCTCTGTAGAAAAGGTGAGAAATGAACTGAGTTCTTCTTCTATTTATAGAGTCCAAGAGCTCCTTGCCATGCGCGAAATAAACACACTAGGAGAGATCATGAGTTAGTTGGATAATGTATTAGTGGACTAGTTAAACATGTGCTTAAATAACTACCCACTAAGCTAAAAATAACCGCCCACTAACTCTAAATAATATATCCAAATTAACATAATAAATCCTACAATAATAATGAATTCGAAAATAGTAAAAAATCATATAAGAAAGTCAAAACAATTAAATTATATTTGACTCAAAGGTCAAATATCCAACAAGTCCTATTAAGCTTATTTTACGACGTGATAAACTATTACGTCATATTTTTATATTTAATTTTTGAAGCGTTTGAATAATAAGTTATTGTCATTGTTTCTAAAATCTTAAATAAAAAAATGGAGTATAAGTAATTTTTCAAGTTTAAACTTTCCACAATCTTATTACCAAAAAACTTTAGAAGAACTAATAAGTTCTTAAATATATAAACAATGTACAAGTTTACCCAAATATCCTCTTAGTTTAAAATCAATACATATTTATTAGTTTTTATTTTCCTAAAAGAAAGAAAAAAAAAAAAACAGGTTTTCATTAATACATGTATTTAAACTTTTAAAGGTTTTTTTTAGAACGAACAGAGTACCTTCTTCTTACACAGAGTCGAAATAGAAAAAAAAATATGTAAAATACAGTTACGATAACATTAGGGTTTGTTCTATACTATAATACATGTTAATAAATTCATACATGCATCTATATAAGTATCCAAATTTCCGCCTTAATTTTTTGATGTACATTTTTTAACTGATTTTCTTCATTAAAAATAAATTTAATCTAACATATATAAGCGTTAGAAAATGATTTTTTTTGGTATAGTGAGTAGATATATTCCACCAAATCGTGTCATCTATCTATGTCATAACATAAGATTAACTGACATCCAACTTTTCTTCTTTCAATTTTTTTCCTCGACAACGGGACGTCGAATCTCTGATTAGCTGACTATGCATTAGTTGACTTTGCATTAGCTAACATCCGACCATTTTTTTAATTTTTCCTTTCAACTCTTCTTTTCTTGGCGGTGGATTTTTAGGACTCTATTTTTTTTTTCTTCCGGATTTTTTCGCCGGTTTCCGGCGCTGACCGGCGGCGGTCAACGCCGCTCCGGCGTTGACTTTTTCGATTTTTTTTCTTTCTTTCTGTAACTTTTTTTTTTTCGTTTAAACAACAATATTGCTGTGATTGACAGTAAATATTAACTATATTACTGTTAAACACAGTAAGATTAACTAAACTACAGTTTAACACAGTTATATTGCTATATTAATCTCTAACACAGTAATATTAACACAAAAAAAATCATTATTATTGTGTAATAGAGTATTATTACTATGTTGACCGTTCAACAAATGTAAACATAATAAAAAGCCAAAAGAATTAATATTACTGTGAGTAACAGTAATATTACTATAACAACAGTAATAGTAATATTACCGTCAACCACAGTAATATTACAAAAATAGACAGTAATATTATTACGTTACTCCGTGAATAACTCAAACAAACAAAAAAATCCAAACAAAATAATAATATTGATGTGGTTGACATCAATATTACCATAACAACAGTAATATTACCGTCAACCACATTAATATTATTGTGTTTACAGTAATATTACAATAATATACAGTAATATTGTTACGTTACTCCGTGAATAACTCAAACAAAACAAAAAATCCCAAAAAATAATAATATTGATGTTGTTGACAGTAATATTATTGTGTTTACAGTTATTTTACTGTCAACGATAATAATATAATTACGTTGACTTGTCCACAAAACAAACAAAATAAAAACAATAACAAAAAATAAAAAAATAATAATATTATGTTAATTTAATGTCAACGGCAGAACAGTTACATAAATGCATTGTCAACGGCAGTACAATTACATTAATTAACTTTCATTGACAGTATAATTACGTTAATTTACTGTCAGTGACAGCACAATTACGGTCAACGTTTAGCGGCGGACGTAAAAAAAAAACAAAAAAAAAAAACTTAAAAAAACACTAAAAAAAAGTCATCGCCGGAGACTGCCGGTCAACGCCGGAAACCGGCGAAAACATCCGGAAGAAAAGAAAAGAAAAAAGAAAAAAAAAAAGTCAACGCCGGAAACCGGCGAAAAAATCCAAAAGAAGATTTTTTTTTTTTTTGAAAAGTCAACGCCAGAATCGAGCGGCAAATTTTTTTTTTTTTTCAAAAAAAAAAGTCTCAAATTGAATATTTTGTGAAATTTGGGGTCGAATTGAGATAAATTAAGTTAATGATGAAATTGGAGCATATT